GCACAAGGGGGCGACAGAGAGTAACTAAAGACTGACTGAATATATTGGAAAATAAACAAAAGTTTAATAAAACAGAACAACTAAAAACTCAGAGTCCTAACAGGGGAGAGACATAACACTTTTGCTCCCCCCCCCAACCAAGGATCCTTAGAATCTTCCTAACCTTTCCCTCCAAATACGGCGCCCCTGAAACCAGCTATATTTGGCGCTCTGATTCTGCTTTGCTAAAGGTAGAATCGCTTCCTGGCCTCCAGCAGGAAACTGTGAAATGAATTTCCGTGGCATTTATTTGGTCTTTTTAAATGTCATCCAACTGAAAACAGAGGACTTCTGCAGAGCACAAGCGGCGGTTTTTCTTCATATTCCTCACTGCTCACTTCAAGCTGTTTGCTCCAAATAAAGCAAACCGTTCTCGCTGTGTTTTTCTGACCTCCTCTATTTTGTGACCCCAGGATTCACCCCAGCCCAACCGCTGGCTCCGTCACAGCAGCCTCCTCCGCCAGCACCGTTCAGGGTAAGCCATCGCTCCGCCGCATCAAAGGCCGCATCCATCGCAGCAAGAGCCTGGACAGCATCGATCTGCTGGACTCCAATGTGAGTAAACTGACTGACACCTCAACATTATCTATTAATGAATTATATCGATTGTCCTCCTGGCATTGTGATGCATGACCAAAACGTGGCGTCCTGCAGACACAGATGAGATGAATTTCTTATGGCTGCTGACACAGTCATATGGAAAATACATTTGCACAAAAACACACGTAATTGTCCAACCTTAAAACATTTATCAGATATAAACCCTGACTTTGCAAAAGCTATTATTCAACATTTGGCTTTTGCAAAAGATTAATATGTAAAGACAAAACAACAACTAGATCCTTTAATAATAGCTTTAATACTGAAATAATAACACACTGAAAGAACCGACCTGCTGATGGCAGAGATATTATCTATGGGAGGTTTTCGGAGCTTTGCTAGAAAGATCTTCAAAAGGCCAAAGAATAATTCAATCTTTTTAATCACAGGAGACACAAAAAGTTTTAGAAAATGCTGAACTTTAATTTAACTTTATTTAGTCAGTTCTGAAAAAATCGAACTAATCTCTGCCAGTTTTGGTATCCAAACATAACTGAAGCATTTCCTTAATTAAAGGTATTGTGGAGGATTTTTTTTAATAGACCTGCCCCCTCCACTTAAAAAAAAATGCACATGCAAGAGCGTGCATGAAAGTAATAAATTACTTAAACAAATCTTCTCAATCCATCGTTTCGTTTTCCGTCACACCTTATTCCAAGCGGGGTAGCGAGGGGGTGCTGGTGCGTATCTCCAGCTGTCTACAGGTGAGAGGCGGGGTCCAGCCTGGACAGGTCACCAGTCCCAAATCGTCTCGATTTTAAAGGTATTGTGGAGGATTTTTCAAAAGACCCGCCCTCTCTTTTTAAAATTAAGAGCGTGCATGAGCCCATTTCTCCTCATGCCTGCCCTGTTGAAAATGTACAGTTCTCATAGCTTACTGTGTCCAAATACAGCAGGGACCATGTAGTGGACTTCATAGCAAAGTCATTTACACTGCAAAAACAATCTAAAAATAAGCAAAGATTTCGTAAATCAAGTTTATTTACCTTTAATTTGAGTAAATAAATACAATGATTTGCCAATGGAATCAGTGTTTTTACTCTTAAAATAAGATAATTAGATAATATACACTTGAAATAAGACAATGCAATCGTGTTTTCTTATTTTAAGTGTAAATTGTCTTGTTCCATTGGCAAAATGTCTCTTTTACCTCCTCAATCCATGAACAAATGAACTCATTTTAAGAAAAAAATGACTTATCTGGATTTAGATTTTTTTCCAGTGTAACTGACCATTCGGACAGATGATCACTGCTTTTTGCTCTGTTGGTCACATAACTCCGCCTCCACTGCGCCATCTTTGTTATTAGTCACCGCTGTCGGGTAGCGACAGCCTATAGCGACAGCGGGCCGCTGTGGAAGCAAATCCCATAATGCTTTGCAAAGAGAGCTGTCCATGCAAAGCATTCTGGGATATATCTGCCTCTTCTGAAGCCTTTCTTTTCTTCTCATACACTTCGTAGAACTTTTTTCTCTTACGACATTTTAAATGAACCGCTAAAAATATTTTGTTTTTATATATTTTTTAGCTTAATTTTAAGCCAACAAAGGTTTGAAGGTACATGTATCTGAATTTAGGACCTTTTAAAAAACACAGTTAGCTGAAACACAGCAAAACATTTTGAAATCTGGACAAAATGTATTAAATGATTACTGTTTGGATTTGCTTTAAGCTGTGGTGGCTGTTTAGAATAAGAATGGTTTATTAACAGGTACAGTTTAATTAGTAAAGCAATGACTTAATGACCCAAACTGCTCCAAGGAGCTGAACTCTGGTTCTGGAATCTGGAAGGTGTCTGATTTTTGATTTTTTTTTGCAATGATCATCAGAGAGATGCGCAGAAATGGAAGGAGACTCGGTGGTGATGCAAACTCTCGGTGCCCCTTGTTGGTTGCAGACAGAGCAGTAGAGTCGGGTCTTCCTCCCCAGGGGACTGATATCATGTTGACACTTCAGCTATGACCTGACTGTGAATTCAGCTCTACCCTTTCCATCTCATTAAATGGATACAAAAAGCCCAGAGCCCGATGAATTATTGATACAGGAATCGTTTGGCGTTAGTAATATAGGCTTTCTGAGAGCGTGAGAGTTTTTTAATGCTCCCTGGGTGCATGCATTAAATTTTCATTTTTTTTTCTTTTGCTGCTTTGCAGTTTAATAAAACTGCTTCACCAAGATTTAATGTGTTAAAAACATAAGAGCTTCAAACACTTTTCCGGAGACTTTGGGGCGCAGCATTCAAATGGAAACCTGGTATCTTGAACATGGTAACAGATTTTTAACCGACTCGTTTTAGACCCGATTTTGATCACATCCCACTTTATAAGTATGTTGAAACTAAAGGGGAAACGGTGATATTGTGTTTGGAAACAAGAGTTTAGCTTTTTTCTTGATTTATGGGGATCTTCTGTCGTTTTGTGTTTTGCTTGGATTTTAATTAAATCCAATTCAATTCAGTTTATTTCTATAGCGGCAATTCACAACACGTCATTTCAAGGCACTTTACAAATTACCAGACCATACAGTTAATTTTTCCATCTAAGGAAAACCAGCTGATTGCATCGACTCATTGACTCTTCAGCAATCCCTCACACTAAGCATGCTTGTAGCGACAGTGGAGAGGAAAAACTCCCTTTGAACAGGAAGAAACCTCCAGCAGTTATATATATTCACAGGTGACATATTTTAGTCTTTTTTCATT